AATGACTACCCAGCGATTGTAGTGTAGGTTACACTTTTGAAGAGTGTCGTTTTCTCACCAGAATTGTCAGAGAGAGAGAGAATCCCAATCGTTGTTGGCTTGGGCCTCACGTGGTCAACACGTGAGTCCCGTTATCAAATATTTAAAGGACGTTTGATTCATAAATTCAGAATTATTATTAATTTATGAATTCTTATTCTAAATGCACATTTAGCTCACAAAAGAATAAATAAAATAAAATAAAATAAAAACACACACAGTGTAATGATCAGTCGTGCTTGTTTTGGTTATTGGCATGTCTCATTGTGCTGGTGTATATGATATTAAATTGTGGAAGAGTAGAAAATGATGAATATCACATGGGTTTTCTCTGCAGGTTGTTGAAGCTTGAGGAGGTCAAAAGATCAGGCTCAGGTGGGCGTCAGGACCCTTTCATTTACACGGTAATTTTGATCTCCCAATTTGCTAATTCTAAAGAAACCATGTCAATAGTATTACTAGTAAAACTAAAATCCTTAAAAAAGTGTATCTTGCAGAAATCTTGTTTAGAGAGTATTTTGCATAACTATAGAGAACAAGGGGAGTTAAAATCTTTTATAGAAATATTTCAATATGTTTTTTGCTCTTCATTTGTTTTGCAGAGAGCATCACGCGTATAGGAAATAGATGACCAGATTACTAGGTGCAGGTCATATGCAGAGTTTTGATCATTCCCTTTAATTGGGAAAATTTTGTTCTTACGGATAGCTAAATGTTGAAATAGTTAGCAAAACCAGTTTTGATTAATCTCTGTAACTTCAAGAGTTACGCCTATGAAAGATGGATTAGTACTTCTCTTTCAAACATACCAAACCATATATATCCAAGTTCGAAGTAAAAAGGACCAGATGAAAAAGTTTTATATACAAGTTATTCTTAATTGAGCAGCTGAAATCCTTTTGACAATTGTGAAAAAGGCATTTTTTGATTTTTTTTCCAAATTACTGCAAAAAATGATTGACCCCAGAATCATGAGAAGGAAGTGGCTATTTGTTTTTGTGAATGGCCAATATTGGAGCCTTCTGGAGAATAAATTAAAAAACCTAGGACCATAGCAAAGAACCTGAGTCAGGGGTCAGAAATTAGAATATAAGCAACCTTTGGAGTTTGGACCAAACCAATTGCTTCAAGAAAATTCTCAATCTATTTTTTTTTTTTATTAATGACAATATTCTCATTCGTGCCATTCTTGATGGAAAGGGACGATATTTGTTGTATATATTTACACGTTTTATAATTGTTTAAAAACTTGGTTTGCATCAAACCAAACCGCATTTTTCGGTGAAGATAAAGAATCACCGACAGATTATCAAATGGGAACCAAACCAACTGGGTCTGATTACTTTAGACATTTAATATGACAAAAAAAAAAGGGAAAAATAAATCTCGCCAACATTTGCCTATCACATGATTCCATAAATTTCAGAATACTAAAGACTTCGTAAAAACAAAAATGTATATGTTACACCATGCTCGAGAAATCGACAACTCTATCAAACGACAGGCGCCGAGCACTCCTTACCAAGAATCAGTCGCTGGCGTTGAGAGAGCAGACTGTAGCTCAAGTGGCCTTTATGTCGAGAGACCATATGTGGCGAGATGCGTCGACCACCATGACTCGACTTCTAGAGGCCATTGCGTCAAGATAGCATGTCCAGTCAAATCCATTAACAGTCTTATCAACTCGGGGAAGGACGTATTGATCCAACTGCTACTGTATGAGTCAGGAAATCAAGCGGCAAATGAGAGGGATCAGCTGCATTTCCTGAGGTTGTCATCATAAAAACTCACCTACCCACCCGGAAATTGAGGGACGGAAGATGGCTTCCTCCTTGGGAACGGCGAAGGGATAATCACATGTAAAAGCCTATAAATAGAACCAAGAAAACCGAGAAAGGGGTTACGCACTATTTCATTATTCCAAGAGGGTTTGTAATCTGAGAAGATATTACTACATTCACAAGTGGATTAGGCAAAGAGTTCTTGCCGAACCACTATAAATCCCTGTCTCATTTACATTATTTCTCAACTTTAATCCTTAGTTAAATCGCGAGTGTTATTGAGAGTGTCTTTGGAGAGTAAGCAACGCCTTGTTGGAAAAACACCGTCAACAATTGGCGCTAGAAGGAGGGCCTGTTGAACCCATAAATTAAATCCAATGAGAAACAGCAACCATGGCTCCGAAGAACACTCGCAGCACGACGGCTAATCAGAAAGATAAGGCTCCCGCCACCGCAGGAACCTCAACGACTCCACCCCTACCGTCTGCTAGGAATCCCCCAGACCGTATTGACCAGCTCCAGAAGCAGGTCGAAACACTGGCTGCAGCCGTGGAAAGGATGGCTACAACCTTCGCCGGGCGGGATCAACGGCAAAACTCGATGCCCCCGTTGGAGGACGCGCCGATGAACCCAGTGAATGCCGCCGTTAGGAAATAAGTGATTGGTGACCAACGTGGTGACGCCAAGGGGGTCGGTGATAGTGGAGCCAACAGCCCCCGCCTAGCCAGGTCTAACAAGTCTGTGGGAAGCCGGTAGCGGGCGGCCAGGAGGATGGCCC